TCTCTCTCTCTCCATCTCTCTCTCTCTCTCTCTCTCTCTCTCTCTCACACACACACAAAAACAACCCCACACACGTATGTCTCCTTCTTAAATTTTAGTAATACGACTCAAGGAATCTAGCAGAAAAGAAGCAGACCGTAGCGTCATTCAACACCCTTTATTTTAAACCTTCTCCTTCCTCGTTTCATCGTGGTTTTACAAGGGATAGTATTTCTAGCTCGTAACGTTGTAAGTGCATATTATCTCTGTTTAACGTACAGAATCAACCCATTGTCGCTGTGTTTATAAGAACTCAACTGGAAGGATTCGGTCGTGTGTGAGAGATAGAGAGACAGTCTCTGTGATTCAGACTGACCGACAAGAAAGTGCAATAAAGATATTTTGAGTGACCTCCGATTGGCTGTGTGTGTGGCGACCGGACTTTGTGCCTTTCCCTGTGTCGACGTCGAAGTCGTGGTGGGCGAAGAAATCGCGCTGATTGCTCTGGACGAGTGGAGAGAAAGACCAACAGCAACAAAAAAAAAAAAAAGAGAAAAACGAGAGAAGAAAGAGAGAGGCCACTTCTCAGGTGTCGACACGAATTTGTAAGACAAACGAGAGAGATAACGGAAAAAAGAGAGAAAAGAGAGAGAGAGAGAGAGAGAGACGTAGTGACGAAACGAAATCAGCGCAAATATGAGCCAGGTGAGTAAAGTACGACCACTCTCTATATATAATAAGATGTCTTTACCTGAGCAGCTGTAGGTAGCATGTGTGGAGTTTTGGTGACGTGTCGTGTGTCTGTCTCGGGTTCGTTTGCAGGCTATTGTTGTAGCGTGTGATTGTCCAGATGGTTTTTACGTCAACGGCGGTATGTATTATAATGTGTACATACACATACGTACGTATGCTTACACCTATTGTTACAGTTTTAGGTGTGGTTGTTTAGTAGGTGTTATTTTTTAAAGATAATATTGAATGTGATATCCAGCTGTTTTATCCACTCGTGATAATATATGCGAATATATGTTAGTGTGGAAATGGGTCAGGTTATGTGATTATGAGACCATAATAGCAATAGAAAGGCTTCGCCGTTTTCATATATCGATATTCCACATCACTTTGTCTAAAATGTAGACTTTTGACACAATACGACCATATTACACCTAGCATGCAGGCTGCGACCAGCTGCACCTGTGTACACACACTCTCACAAACACACACACACACACAT